CTCAAAATAGAAATACCATTTGACCCAGGAATTCCACTCCTAGGAATTTACCTAAGAATGCAGCAGCCCAGTTTGAAAAAGACAGATGCACCCCTATGTTTATCACAGCACTATTTACAATAGCCAAGAAATGGAAGCAACCTAAGTGTCCATCAGGAGAGGAATGGATAAAGAAAATGTGGTACATATACACAATGGAATATTATTCAGCCATAAGAAGAAAACAAATCCTACCATTTGCAACAACATGGATGGAGCTAGAGGGTATTATGCTCAGTGAAATAATCCAGACAGAGAAAGACAAATACCAAATGATCTCACTCATATGTGGAGTATAAGAACAAAGAAAAACTGAAGGAACAAAACAGCAGCAGAATCACAGAACCCAAGAATGGACTAACATTTACCAAAGGGAAAGGGACTGCGGAGGATGGGTGGGAAGGGAGGGATAAGGGCGGGGGGAATAAGAAAGGGGGCATTATGATTAGCATGTATATTGCGGAGGTGGGGGGACATGGGTAGGGCTGTGCAACACAGAGAAGACAAGTAGTGATCCTACAACATCTTACTACACTGATGGACAGTGACTGTAATGGGGTTTGTGTGGGGGACTTGGTGAAGGGGGACCCTAATAAACATAATGTTCTTCATGTAATTGTAGATTAATGATAACAAAATATAAATAAATAAATAAACATCAATAATCAGACAAATTACAATCATATGCCACCTGATAGGATGCAATGAGAAGAACACTGTAACACATCTGTGAGAATTCTGTTAAAGACACCTACCCTGAAACTAATGGTAAGCATCTGACCTATGCAAAGTGAAGGCCATTTGTATAAGTGGACAGGAATTGTTAAAAGTGTCAAGGAAAGACTGAGGAAGTATTCCAGATCGAAGATACATGGAAGGTAAATACAATGCTTGATTCTGAACTGAGTCTTTTACCGTAAGGGACATATTTGGGACAACTGGCAAGACATATCACATAAATATTTTGATTTTGGTAGTTATATTGTAAGTCGGTTGTAGACGATGCCTATTAGGACATAAACTAAAGCGCTGAGGTACAATATGGCATCCTGTGTACAACTTAAACAACTTAAACCTCAAACTGTTCAGGAAAAAAATGTTCTTTGTATTATACTTGCAACATTTTTGCAAGTTTAAGATTGTTTCAAAATAAAAATTGAAAAATTACATTAAAAAAAAATCTATTTGGATCCGAGGCCTTTCCATCCAAACAACTTTTCACCCAAAAAAGCTCTTAATTTAGTCATGTGACACTAGAGCTCCTACGTTAGTATTTTTAAATACCTGCCTTTTAGGGTTTAATACAATCAACTGCTTTTTAAATTGTACTACCTCAAAGTATACTGTGAAGAAAAGTGATACAGATGTTGTACCCACCCCCCACTGCTTAAAATGGGACAAATAACTATCCCAACTTAATCAGTTCATGAATGATTACCAAATCTCTCTCTCTAGCTCTGACACTGGTCCCAAGCTCCAGTGCTAAACTTGTGAATATCATACTATCACCTTATACACACATTTACTGCTATCCTTCTTAACTCACCTATTTCAGCCAACATCACCACTGTTCTCCCTATTATTTACACTCGAAGTCTTAGAGTTAGCCATTTTGGCTTTCATTATTGTGCTAAGAGATTCAACTTGGATTATCTCATGTAATGGGGTACATATTGTAACTTCCTATTTTACAGATGAGAAAACTGATGTAAAAGTTATTACAGACACTAAGTGGAAGAGGAAGACTTAAACTCCTTTTGAGATCCCAGACCCTGTGTTCTTAATTGCCGTACCACCTTGCCTCCCCTTTGGATCCTTCACCCTATCTATCCTGTAAGTAACCAGATCTTATGTTTTCTTTCCTCCAATATTTACTTAACAGTAACTACATAATTACTCTCTGCAAGGCACACAGGATTCAGAAATGAATAAGAGTCCTGGCCTTCAAGGAGCTCATAGTACAGGGGAGAAACCAGGTACGAATTATTATGCTATGAGAAATGCTCTTAATAGAGGTATGTATAAAATGCTAAAAGAGCAGAGGAAGGAGGGCCTAACACTGCTTGGTACTTTACTTTACACTAATCTTCCGGCATCCAGAAGAAAGCAGGAACCAGGCAGCTTCAACAAAAAATTCAACTTGCTCAACAAATAACTACATGCAAAGATATTGAGTCTAAGCTCTTACCATCACATGTATGAATCACTGCTACCTTTGTCAACTGGGAAACGTGGGCAAATCACAGTTTCTTCACTTGCAAAATGTGGAAAATAACACTATCTGAGACATAGCATAATTAGAGGATAAAGTACGGCCACAGTCTGTGATACCTAGTATTTTTAGAAAGCTTAGCTCTAATTATTCATAAAACACCCATTTGTTATGTCATTTCCTATTCCAAAATGTCTATGGGATAATATCAAAATTCTAACATTTACAGTTTGAGGACAGGAAGGGGATTTCTGGGATGCTTGGTGAATGTTCTGTTCCTTCATCTGGGTGCTGACTACATAGGTATACACAGTTGGTAAAAATTCATCAAGCTCTATATGTATTATATGTTCTTTTCATGTATATTGTACTTCTGAAAACAAGTTTTTAAAAAAGATCTTCAAACTCTGGCTTTAACCTAACCCCCACCGCATTACTACCCTACTTTGGATATTTCACATTCTTCATTTCTTGATCTTGTTTCCCTTTCGTTACCTGCAACTCCCCTTTCTCTAAGCTCCCATTCCAAATTCGACATCTTTCAAGCATTAGCACAGGTCCCACATCCTTAGGAAACTGGAAAAGGAGAAGGCACCTGGGGGTGTCCTTTCCAAGGAAGGAACTGGACATACATAGAAAGTACACTTTTCATAAATGACTGTAACTGTCTCTTCTCACTAGCCTGTGGGTTCTTCAGCTCAAATCCTGTCCAACTGCATAAAACAATGTTGACGTTGAACGTAAAGAAATAAGAAGAAACAGTAGGAAAAACTGCACTGCAAGTCCCAGACTAAGAATAGGAGTCTAAGCACACACACTGTCCTCTCAGGCAAGACCGGTCCCCTCACTGGTGGGCCCTCGCACACCACCCCACACCCCGGGAACCACCACCCGCGATCCCTCGTCAAATCTCAGCGCCCTCCGCAAACACCGCTCAACCCAGCACGCCCTCTTCGGAACCCGACCCTTCCTGAGACCCTTCCCCCGGCCCAGGTCCGGAGGGGGACACACCCCTTAGCTCCCCACCCCTCAGGCCCTCCGACGCCCAGCGCCCGACCCTCCCCGCAGGCACACGCGCCCTCCCCTCAGCAGCCCCGCCCTCAGACCCCGCCCTCTCCGAGGACGCCCGGGCGGGTCAGCGCCTCCGAGTCTGGAGCTTGCGACCGCTGCCCCCGCCTCCCGCTCAGAGGCCGGCGAGCACGGCGAGGCCTGGCCGCCTTCTCGAGCCGGTGGCCTCACCTCTCTTCCAGGAACTCATCGGGGACGCCACCTCCACTCGCTCGGAGATGAACTCGGCGAGACTGGAGCGGAACAAGGCCGCCCGCACGGTCACGGCCACCACCAGCACCAGGGCCAAGGGAGCCGCCATGATCGCCGGGGTGGGCGCGCAGGAGGGCAGGGAGGAAAAGGCGGAAGAGCCTCGCGACCTGGGAGCCGCGCTGGGTAGTTTCGCGGGCGGCGGGTGCTCGCTGCGGACGCCGGAGCTGCGAGACTGGGGACTACCATTCCCAAGAAGCCTCGCGGCGAGTCGGGGCGGGACGACGGAAGGCGGGGTCTCTCAAACTTCCCAAGGGTTGGGCGGAGTCTCCTCTGGTAGCAGGTGAATTGTAAAGGCTCGCAGGGCTGCTCAAAGTAATCAAGTGAAGGCCCCTATCTTAACCAGGATTGTGAGCGAATTTTAAAGAGATCTTAACTTCCTCGTATGTATGCCTTTAATGTTAAAATGTTTCCCTCTTATGTTTTTAAAGAATATTAAGTGTGTATTTATTTACTGTACATTTGTTTATTGAACGACAACTATATGCCAGGCACTGTGTTGGATTCTGAGGATACATTTTGGAGCAGTAGACAGATTAGCCCTGTGGCCTTGAACAAGTTGCTTAACCTTTCCTTGTCTCAGGTCCTTCATCTGAAAAACGGGCTCAATGGGACAATTGAGGAATGCTTAGAAATGTGGCCAGTCACCTTTAAACACTGCTATCATCAAACATTGAATTATACAAGCTTACAACTAAGTAACTTATATTAAACACAAGATAGTAAATACTCAAAACTCATCACTTCTTCATTATTTTAACACTTTTATCTGTGGCCTTGAGGTTATTTATCACTGCTGTATCACAGTGGCAAATACTGTATAATGGTGCGCCACAGCCCTTCACTTCCCAAATCAGTGTTCAGTGACATCAGATTGCTAGCTTGAAATCCCTCCCAATGGGAGTGTTTACACAACAGAAATCAGCACTACAAATCAGGGTTTTGAAGTTTGGAGAGCCCATTGATAAGCATTAAGTAGCACACCACTTCATTAATTCATGGATGAAAAGTGCTTATGGTGAGTGTTTAAATGTTAGCTATAAATAATGTTCAATAAGTATATAAGGAAATTTTAGATCTGTGAATAAAATTCAATAAAATGCATGATAAAGAACAACTTGGTCGAAGGTGGTGGTAACATTGGACAGGTTGGTCAGGGAGGGCTCTGAGAAGAGGTGACATTTGAGCTGAGAGCTAAAGAATGAGAAACCAATCAGAACTTTCAAGCCAAAAACAGACCCTGAGTCAGCAAACACCAAGGTGTGTTTAAGAAAAGAAACACGTGTGATCCAAGTGGAGAGAGTAGTAGAAGATATGGGTGGGGAAGCAGATAGGAGCCAATAAGGTTGGGACCTGTTTGTCGTGACTGGGAATTTAGGCTTTATTCAAAGTGCAATCCATGTATCATTGGAAGAGTTTAATCCAGAATGTGATGTAGCCAGGTGTACGTTTTTAAAAGATCAGTATATCCCCAGGCTTATACTGGATGTTGGGGAATAGTGCAGTGAGAGTATTGAACTTGGACAGTATGTTGAGTGTTGAAGAGATGTGGTAGTTTTAGGAATAAAAGTAAAATTTTTCACATAAATAAAATCACAAACCATGATGGGAGAAGAAAAAAGGAGAGCAGGTTGTTAGGAGAATGAAATAATCAGCCCTGGAGCTGATAGCTTTCTTGACCAGTGGGAGGGGCATGTCTCTATTGGCAGAGGGCATCTTGATGGATTAGAGAGAAGTGCTCTCATCCTTTGAGCCCTACTCTGCCAAGCACTGTGCCATACTTTTCACACACATGAGCTTACTTAGTCTGCAGAGCCTTCCTTGCTAAAGATGTAAATGTTAGTATCCTCTTTTACATAAAAGGAGGAGATATATGTATTACATCATATCAGAGTGAAGCATATTATGTCATGAAAAGTGGAGGTGATTATAAACACAAACCTTAAAGTGAAGACCGAACAAGATTGTGTAGTGTAAAATGCTTTGCAAATACCACATGCACAACATAGATTAATTACCTGTTTTATTATTATTTACATCATCCAAACAGATGACTTAAAAATCCTTCTTAAGGGGAGGATTGTCTTTGGGAAAAACACTGATTAGCCATTATAGGTAGAAGGTGTAACCCAAACCAGTGGTTCTTCCATGAGTGTGCCTGGATCATAGACCTAAGTATAGGAGCTAAAACCAGAAGACTCCTAGAAGAAAACATAGGAGTAAATCTCCATGACCTTGAATTAGGCAATGGGTTTCTTAGATACAACACCAAAAGCATAGGCAACAAAAGAAGTAATAAATAAACTGGACTTCATCAGAATTAAAAACTCCTGTAACCCAAAGAACACCATCAAGAAATGAAAAGACACATTATAGCGTGGGAGAAAATACCTGCAAATCACATATCCCATTAAAGACTTTTATCCAGTATGTACACAGAACTCTTACAACTCAACAATAAAAATAACCCAATTAAAAATGGACAATGGATTTGAATAGACATAATTCCCAAGAAAATACAAAATGGCCAATAAGCATATGAAAAAATGCTCAACATCATTAGTTATGAGGGAAATACAAATCAAAACCACAATGAACTATCACTTCATACCCAGTAAAATGGCTACATTAAAAGATAGTTAATGACAAATATTGGCAAGGAGGTGGAGAAATTGGACCTTCATACATTGTTGGTGGGAATGCAAAATGCTGCAACCATTTTGAAAAACAGTTTGGTGGTTCCTTAAAGTGTTAAACATAGAGTTACCATATGATTTACCCTATAAAAATTAAACTCCTAGCTACATATTCAAGACAAATGAAAATATGTCCACACAAAAACTTGTACATGAAGTAGTGATTCTATAGCATCTTACTACGCTGATGGACAGTGACTGTCATGGGGTTTGTGGGGGGGACTTCGTGAAGGGAGGAATCTAGTAAACATAATGTTCTTCATGTAATTGTAGATTAATGATAATGAAATGAATTTTAAAAATCTAAAGAAAAAAAACTTGTACATGAATGTTCACAGCTTACTCATAGTTATTATTCATCATGCCAAAAAATGTGAACAATCCAAATATCCATTTGTTTGCCATGGATGGATAAACAAAATGTGGTATATCTATACAATGAACTATAATTGGGCGATAAAAAAGAATTGAAGTACTGATACATGCTACAACATAGATGAATCTTGAAAACATGCTGAGTGATATAGATCAGTCACAAAAGACCACATATAGTATAATTGCATTTATATGAAATGTCCATATTAGGCAAATCTATAGAGATAGAAAGTAAATCAGTGGTTGCGTAGCGCTGGGGTGGTTGTGGGGATACAATGGGAAATGACTGATAATGGGTACAGGATTTCTTTTGGGGATGATAAGAATGTTCTAAAATTAGAGTGTGGTGGTTGTACAACTCCATGAATATTTCAAAAAACATTGAACTATACACTCTAAATGGTGAGTTTTATGGTATGTGAATTATGTCTCAATATGTATATTTTTAAATGAACATCAGCATCACTTGGGAGATGTATTTTTTCAAAGCAAATTTCCTAGCTCTGTCTTAGAGACTGTGATTCTCTAGGTCTGGGTTGGAGCCCAGAAGCCTGCGTTCTTAACCTCTCCAGTTTATTCTGATGCCGGTGGTTCAGGAGCCATACTTTGAAAAGCATTGCCCTGAAGGCATAGGTATCCAGTAGCTTATTGTAAATCCGGGGAAAGGAAATCCCAGGCAAAATACCTCTAAAAACCGAAATCAGTCAAAGGGAGAAATAAAGTTTAAAACCCGTTTATTGCTTACAAAGTGCAGTCCACGGCCGTCTCTCTCCTGGGCTCCATAAGAAGTCAACCAGCAAGCAAGCCATCCCCTCCCCTTAAACTCTCAGGTTCAGACACGCCTTCGGTTGCCCAGGTAATTACCCATTGACATGGAGATGAACTTCTCTCCACCCCTGAGGATATACAACAAGCACTAAAGCCAGGCAAGATATTCTGGAAATGTTACAATTTTACCCACACTTGTGTAATAAAAAGATAAAAATAGTAATAATAGCTATCAAGTATTGAGTGTTTACAATGTGCTAAGTATTATTTTAAGTGTTTTACATATTTTATCCATCTAATATATACATATATTATTATGTATATAGCCAGACAAGAGCAGGGAGGGGGCTGGGAACTCCAGCCGGTATTTACATTCAGTTAGATTCTTGTTGATATTCTAAACATTGCATGTAAACTGTTCTCTTGGGATGTGGAGAGTGAGGGTATAGATAACAGACCTGCCAAAACTGAATGGATCCAACATAGAGGGAGATTGACCCTGACTTCAACTCAAAATACAATATGTACTCATTAGCATACTAAAAATCACACCCCTTGGTGCCATAACAGTTCTGAAGCAGACTACAGGACAAAAAGAGGGCATCACCCTATTTCCCCCAAATCCCCTCCCTATTCTGAGAAAACCCCACCTATCTATAAGACCACCCAACCCAAAACCCACCATGCTGCTCATCTCTGGAGCATGCCCACACTCCCTCCTTGAGTACTTTGCTTTACTAACCTCTCAAGCATGCCTACACTCCTTCCTTGAGTGTGTCCTTTTGCTTTATTAAACTACTCTACTTGTACCTGCCTGACCTGCTCATGAATTCTTTCTGGATCAGAGTCAAGAACCCTCTTGAGGGGTGGAGGTCTCACCTAGCTGGCAGGGAGAGCTCCCCAGACTGGATTTCCTGAAACACTATTACAGGTCCTATAATTTCTCTATTTCCAGATGCACATGAGGAAACTGAGGCACAAAGAGATTTAGTGATGTGTCCAAGGTCACACAGCTAGTAAATGGCACAACCAGGATTGGAATGTTAGGTTCAGGCATTGTGGTTAAGCTGCTTTGCCTGAGAAAATAAGAGGAATCTAGGTTGGGTTGGTTGAGTTGGGTTGGGTTGTTTTGGTGTAGCTGAAACAGAGGATAAAGAACTGAAAGGAGGAAGATGATAAAGGAGCAAGCAAAGTGATTTTTCTCCTGACAAACCAGAGATCCCAGATGATATGTGGGTTACCCAGAAGGAAGAAATTGAGGCTCTGAGATACTAAATAACCAGCTTTAAGCCACATACCTGCAGTTTTTCCTTTAGCATTTATTGATTATCTACCATTGCCAGGTCCTATGCTAGGCTGTGGAGATATGTTTTGTCTACTACATTTCTTTTTTCCAAGGAGCAAACTGATTCTGGCCATCTTTAACATAAAGGCTATGAGGCAGCTTACAGGGCTAAAGAGAAGACTGGAAAACCATACTTAGAGTAGTCAGGACTCAGGTAGGCAACAAAACAGGACCTGGATAGCAGGAACCACCTGTCAGGTCAACCAGGTGCAACTATTGGAATGAGGGAACTCCAACCAGTTTTGAATGGCCTTGCATCATGC